GAATGCTAGTAACAAATAATGTTGTGTGGCATCTCTTTTTCTTTTTATTTTCATTAATCTGCAAGAATACCCAAATTCTTACTGTCTGGTGCTAAAACTTCATGTACATTGCAGCACAATGATGCCAAGGTTTAAAGCAAGGCAAAGAAATACAATTATTTACTCCTACACACTTGTGTTTTCCAGGGTGTGTTCTTTTGGTGAGCAGTGCAATCCTACTTAATATGAAACTACATGGAAAGCAAATAAGAGAAGCAAGCCTGTGATTCATTTGAATTTTTAGCAGTAAATCAGGAAGTTTTCTGAATTAAAATGCTGAGTTGGGCTCTGTATTTCTGCATTTCTGTCCCTAGCACCAAGTGCATTATTTGTTGCATTCAGAGGAGTTCTCCATTTTCCATTGCAGCCAGGAGAATAAAAGGGACCACGTTAGCAATCCATAGCAAGCCAGTTTTAAAGTAATTGGGCATTTTGCAAAATGTGAGGATGCAGGGAATTCTGCCAGTCTGAACTGTCAGTTGAAGAGCTTGGGATAACTCAAGGATGCCTATGAGGCATGCCCAGTCTCAGGAAATCACAGAATTCCTGGCTGGCTCTGCCTGGGCTCCAGCACTTTAGAAATTTTACCCTTTATAAAATCAGTTTCTTAAACGTGGCAGTCCATGTGTGTGCATGTTGTTTTCCCTGGTATTTTGGTAGAGGCAAATCAAATGAGGGCACGATGAAATGTGTGAATATCACTGACAGTGTACAATTATAATATAATTAATATAATATAATTAATATAATATAACTCACATCACATAATATATAGTTATTATAATTAATACAATATCACTTACATTATATAATATCAACTGAATTTTTCTGCATCACCTGGGATTGTTTGCTGTGGAAAGCAGATGCTGCCAGGAGTGTTGTAGTTATGATAATGCAAGGATTGAGGCGAGAGGTGATACACAGTGAGTCACAGTGGTACATTTGATGGAGGTGTTTATCTATTTAGTACAATCATCTGAACTCCTGAACAACTGGTTTAAACTGTATTTAGCTTGGCTTTTTTTTTTTTTTTTTCACTCCTGAAGTATTTGTTGTGGGTCTGTAAGTTTGTGTGGTTTTGTTTGGATAGGGTGGGATTTTTTTTTTGTTGTTTTTTTCTCTTGTATACAAATAAAAAAAATATTCATGAAACTAGCTTGAAAAAAATCTATAGCAGAATGCTCCTTTCAATTTCTCCCATTCCATAAATATTCTAAATTGCCAGTTCATGGAAGGGGTAGCCAACACAGCTGATTATGAAATTTGATTTCTAGGGCGGAAAGTGCTTGCTGAGCAAAAAGGAGATATTGGCATGGAGTTTCCCAAAAGAGAGAGAAATGGCACAATAACCAAGGAATCAATGCTACTGAAGAAGTCAGGGTCACGTTATCAGTTTGTGTGTGCATCTCTCAGAATGGAACGAACCTCTCTGGCTGAATGAAAAGATGGCATTGGTTATATGATCCAAATGTCCCCTTACTCAATTTGGAAATCTGCTATTTTTAGTTTAATAGTTTAATATTAATCTGCATTAGGAGATACAGAAACAAGCTGTAGCCTGAGTCGCTGAGAGCATAGAAATACATTAGAAAATGTCATTTAGGGGTTATAGAAAATAAGCCCTGCAGAGCAGACAGTTGATCCTCCCCTGAAAAGGAAGTAATTCAGGAAGTCAAGGCTGGTTTACAGGGTGAGGTTGGCTCCTGTGGCAGCCTTGGAGCACCGGATATTGAAGAAACTTTATCTTGCACATGGTCTTGGCCAGAAATTAAGATGAGATCTTGCACTTGAGGTATTAAAATAAACTCATAAGCAGCAGAGGTCAGCAGGATCAAACAGAATATTCTGAGTCAGGAAAGAGATTAAGGTAATATGGAGTGCTCCTGTAGTGAAAATGACTGTTGCTTTACCAAAATAAAAAAGAAAAATCCTACCACACAGCCTGGAAAATTTTCCAGGAAGAGATTTTCATTATTTAAAATTGTCAAAGCGTGGATTTTATGGTAGAATTCAAGCCACACATTTTTTGCAAAGACATGACAGACTACTTTGGGTGATTGAAAGATTTCTTGAAGAAAACCTGGTTATTTTAATTTTCCCAAAAGCTGTTAGTAAAATTAAGCATTCATTAAATGAGAGACCAAGTATGGTCTTTGTTCAAAAAACTGGTTGACATGGGGAACAATATTAAATTATTAATATTTATATTAATAATATTAATATTATTAATATTATTGTTTACATTAATAATTTAATATCATATTGAATTATTAATATTATTAAATATTAATTTTTCAATTAGTAGTTTGATTAAAAGCTACTTTAGTTATTTCTGTGTCCTAGGACCTCCAGTGTTGGTGTATTCATGTGATGTGTATCAGGCTGCAGGTAAAATGAAACACTGGGTTCAAACACAGTTTGCAATGCCCAGATCATGGGAGATAAATGACCACAGCAGGCAAACTAACACTGATTAATGTGCGGTACTGTGCATTCAAGAAGAAAATCTGAATTCCTTATACATTTTGACATCACGTTAGATACATCTGCTCAGGGGAAAAATAAATTTAGAAGGTCATTGTCAAAGATTTTTTTCCCTTTATTACTAACACATAAACTATGTTCAATACAGAAGTAAAAAGAAGAATAGCAAGGAGATTATTAAAATCCCCTTGTGTGCATCAATTATGTAGTCCACTAATGAATACTAAATGCTATGTGGAGCCAGTACAATGTGAATAATCAAAAACCCAAAAAAATCTCTCGTTTCATCAAATAGGAAGGGAAATTGTGATTTTTTTTAATGCCAGAGAGAACATGAGTGAAGACATGTGTACAATCTATTATACACATGAGGAAATGAATTGTAAATAAAAAGTTCTAAATGTAGAGCAAATAGAAATTTTCTACCTGACTGCTTCTTAGCACTGACTTAAGTTTTCCTGGTCCATGAATAGGATCTGGTTTGTGTTTCTGGCATAGGAAAGAAGCCTTGGCAGTTTCTCTGCTATTGCTGCTCTCTGGAGACCAAAATGAATGCTGCTAGCCCTCTCTGTCAATTTTCTACTAGCCCTATATGACCCAGAGAATTTGTCTCTAATATTTCTCAAGCACATGGGTTTTCCTGAAAAAATTAATAAATTGGTAACTTACTCTGGTACAGTTTTGTCAGTCTGTTAAGTTGCTCACTGTAAAAAAGAAATCAACAAAGTATCAATGGAAATGTGTTTAATTATGATTTTGAATATGCAGATATGGTTTTGATTTGCCTCAGTTATTCATGGTTGTTGTATCCAGTCTCAGTTAAATATTGTGTGAACCAGAAATATGTAAATGGGTGAAGTCTGTTTTATATTTGCCAGCTAACACAGAGATGGTGTTCACCACATAAATACACTTGTGCACACAAATTTCAGGAGCAAACCAAGGCCTTTTTTTTTTTTTTGCTTTGTGTTTTTTTCTTTATTTCATGTGAGTGAAATTTGAAGGTGACCTGGAGAGATTATTAAGAAATATTACTAGCTTTTAATTTTAGGGAACTAAATTACATTTTCTTGTTTGAGATTGTGAAGGGTTCATTTAGAGCAGTTGCTCTGGTGTCCTGTGGCTGAGGAAAAACTGAAGGTTGATTTACCTGGTGAGAGGCACACAAAAGTGAATTTGGAGACTCCATTTATGGTAGGATCCCATCAGGTGTCTGGTCAGAATGTTCTAATCAGTCAACAGCTGAAGCAAGGATTTTTTTTTCTATATCAAGGAGCAACCAAGTCATTACCTATCAATGGGTACAGCCTGTAACTTTCAGGCTGGTATTACACCATATTACATGGGGCTATGTAATATCACATGGCCCCATGTAATATTACGCCATATCACATGGCCCCATGTAGTATTACATGGCCCCGTGTAATATTACGCAATATCACATGGCTCCATGAAATATTATGCCATATCACATGGCCCCATGTAATATTACGCCATATCACATGTGCTGATGCTATATTACATGGGGCCATATAATATTGCACCATATTACGTGGGGCCATGTAATATTACGCCGTATCACATGAGGCCATGCTATATTACATGGCCCCATGTAATATTACGCCATATCATATGGCCCCATGTAATATTTCATTGCCCCATGTAATATTACGTGGGGCCATGCAATATTGCGCCATATCACATGGGGCCATGTTATATTACATGGGGCATGTAATATTATGCCATATCACATGGCCCCATGTAATATTATGCCATATCACATGGCCCCATGTAATATTACATGGCCCCATGTAATATTACGGGGCTCCATGTAATATTGCGCCTTATTACATGGCCCCATGTAATATTACATGGCCCCATGTATTATTACGCCATATCACATGGCCCCATGCTATACTACATGTGGCCTTGTAATATTACGCCATATCACATGGGGCCATGGTACATTACATACGGCCATGTAATATTACGCCATATCAAATATAAAAAATGTTTTTAGACCAGCAATGGTCATTTATGTTTTTCTAGATCTGGTGACATGATCTATTTTCGTCCCAGTTTTTTGTCAGAGAGCTGCATCAGTCATTCATTTCTTTGCAGTGTGGGGACTTTCAGTGGTGTAGCTGAGAAGTTAGCGACATCTCATGGCAGCTGTGGAAAACTACAGGTGATTTGGGATAAGCTTTGGGATTTATAATTCGGACATCGCAAACGTGATCTGGGTCAAAAATCTTTTTTGATATGCGTGTACAAACCTCTTGCATTTTGTCCTCCAGATTTCATGACTTCTCTAGAGACTAATTGAGGTATTTCTAAGCCTGAAATGAAGGTTTTCAGCCTGGAGTGAAACTTTTCACTCTCAAGTCCAAATATTGTAGCATGCAGTACCTATTAATTTGCCACCCACAAAGCAATTATATGACATTATTGCCTCTCCTCACTTTGTTTTTCTTTAGGCACAAAGTCAGCCACAGAGTATGCTAATGGTGGTTATGATATTGTGTCACCTGCTCCATCAGTTTACCTGGGCACATTTCAAATTCTGCACCTCCTGGAAGATCTGAAGATGGCCCTGGAGATGCTGGAGGACCCTCAGGAGAAAGAAGCTCTGAGGAACCAAATCCCAGGGGCCACAGCACTGTGTCTGAGGGAGTGGTTTGAGGAGAACCTGGTGAGTTGCTATTTCAGCTTTTCCATTTCGTCTGCAAACAGGGTTGGGTCAAGTATTCCCATGCTTAAGTCATTTCCATAAAAACTGAAATCTGCATACTTAGAGAGCTGCAGGGGGTGGTGAGCAATAACAGCTGAGGATATAACTGCTTTAAGTACTGATTTCTAAAGCAATGCAGATATAGGAGTAGAAGAAGTAGATATAAGACCTTATTTTGTCCTTTGGGGGGAGCAGAGATAGTAAAAATGAAGTACAAAAAAAGTTGCCATTTCTGTGGTTGTTTTTTTATTTTTTTTATTTTGTTCGCTTTATTTCACTTTTTGCTGGAGATAACAAATTTATAACTATTTACAAAACTTCTAACTTGTAAACTGTCAGTTTAGAATAGAGTGGCATTGTCTGTTGAAGGGACAGATCCAGACTGGATGATCCTCATTCACTTTTCCTTGCTGCACTGCCCTTGTTATCAGTATTACAAATCTCCAAACCATCCTGTACACCAGGGAGGGGGGTAAAAGCAGGAAAGCCTTTGATTCTGAAGGGGACACATTCCTCTTGGGATAGATGGGGAATAAACCTCTGACTACACTGGAAAAGGCTGAGGTTTACCAGGTGAAGAGATAGACCTCAAAAGAAGAGACTCCATGGGTGTAAAGGAAGAGAAACACAAGATTCCCCTTCCCCAAACCTGCCACTGCCAGCATTCTGCCCAAAGTGTATTTTAGTGTATCTTAATTGTTGTATTCAACTGAAAAGTTACATAAAAGAGTGCTCAATATCAGTAGCAGTATTTGAATTGCAACCAACATTGTATGGGAAATGTATGCAGCAAACAGTGGATGGTGAAATAATTCCTTTGAGATTTTATTGTTTTGAGCTGTTACAGGTTAAATAGCAGCTGTAAACGGAGAGGGATTTTCTTTTGTGAGTAATTAATTCCACATCTGTTTACTTTTGGGGTCCATGCACCTTCCTTTGCAGCTGGAGAGCTGCTCTAGCATGTCACTGAATAGCTTGAGAGACTACAGCAATTGCTCTGCTTCTAACATTTTACTCAAATGGGCACCAAAAATATTCCCAGCTTATCCTGATTAGGGACCCATTAGAAACTAAAGATAAAAAAAGCCATTCCATGTTCTTAAAAGCAAATAAGTGCAGGTCTGTGGCTGGAAAATTCTGTTTGGGCCCACGTGAGAGAAAGGAATGAGAATTTGGTCCCAGTTTTGAAAGCTAAAGGTGTAGGCAATGTTTAATTTGCATTTACAGCGTTGGATTTTGGATTTAGATATCCTTAGGCCAGCTCTTACCAAATGCTTGCCACAGCAGAAATTTTAATGATTTTTCTAATCTTTATGATAGCTAAGAGATGAGTGTAGTCCATAAAAGACAGATATTTCAGAGTTGTTCCCAGTAAAACTGGACCTGTATCAAGAGTAGCATTCATTTGACAGAGCAATTGGGCAGTCTGGACTCAGAATCAAGAAAACAGGGAAGGTGCTGTTTGGAGTATGTCTAGTGCAGCATGGAGAGGTAACTGGATTTAAAATATTCTGCACTGCTCTGCATTGAGGGAGGGTAGTGCACAGCTGCTGTGACTGTTATTTGAAAATGGATAGTAATCTTATGTATTTGAAGACGTTTCTTGATTTTTTTTTTTAAATGCAAATAAAATTTGCAAGCATGCATATGATTGGTGTGGAAGAAAACTGATAAAATTCAGCTCATTAAATGAAATGAAAGATGTATTTCATGGTTGTGTCCCACACTGAAATTTCCTTCATTCCAGCCCATTTCAGAGCTATGAAACATGGCACTTAATATGTGTCGTATGCCAGGATAGCTGAGGTAGTGAGTTCTAAAGAAGGAGATCTCTGCATCTCAGTGAATCCATCCACTCTGGGAGCCTCAAAGGCACTCTAGTGATCATTACTCTATGAAATGCTGGAATATCATAAAAAAACCCCACTCAGATGTGGCACATTCTTCACTGTCTCTTCTAAGCATTCTGCCTAAAGTGTATTTTAGTGTATTTCAAGTGTTGTATTCAACTGAAAAGTTACATAAAAGATTGCTTAATATCAGTAGCAGTATTTGAATTGCAATCAACATTGTATGGGAAATGTATGCAGCAAACAGTGGATGGTGAAATAATTCCTTTGAGATTTTATTGTTTTGAGCTGTTACAGGTTAAATAGCAGCTGTAAACAGAGAGGGATTTTCTTTTGTGAGTAATTAATTCCACATCTGTTTACTTTTGGGGTCCATGCACCTTCCTTTGCAGCTGGAGAGCTGCTCTAGCATGTCACTGAATAGCTTGAGAGACTACAGCAATTGCTCTGCTTCTAACATTTTACTCAAATGGGCACCAAAAATATTCCCAGCTTATCCTGATTAGGCACCCATTAGAAACTAAAGACAAAAAAAGCCATTCCATGTTCTTAAAAGCAAATAAGTGCAGGTCTGTGGCTAGAAAATTCTGTTTGGGCCCACGTGAGAGAAAGGAATGAGAATCTGGTCCCAGTTTTGAAAGCTAAAGGTGTAGGCAATGTTTAATTTGCATTTACAGCGTTGGTGGTTGAAAATTGTATCAAAAAATCATTTCAGCTGCCATGGCTAATCAAGAATACAAACAGTATTCTTGTACAAAGTGTTTGTTTCTTGTACAAAGAAACAAACAGTTTCTTTGCTGTTTATAGACACTACACCTGGTCTCACCTGCCTTCAGGGCCATAGCACCAAACTCTGGAATTTATCAGGCATCAAATGTCACCAAGGGATGTTTCAGATTAATTTAATTTTTATTCTATTTTTTTTTTTTAAACCAGTGGTAACTTTAATATTCTTTGTCCGGTCTGCTCTAGGTGTGAGTACCAAAGATGTGGAAAAATTTAGAGATGTCTAGAATAGGAAAACTTTAGGCCTCATGTTTCATACCTGATATTACCTTCCCTGTTAACTCTTTGGAGACCAGCTGCTGAATTCCTTTTTCTTATGTAGCCAACAATGATTTGGTGTTTCCTCTAAAATCAAGGCACAGCATCTGTTGAACTAAAGATGTTCTTTTTGAAAAGGCCTTTTTTTTTTGGTTTTTTCCCTGTTTCTGGGGTCTGGGATATATGAAAAATTCAGGTTCCTGAGTTTACAGAATAACTGGACACAGTAACTGTTCTGTCCCTGCTTTGAGGTAGATGAAATAGGTTTGACAAAGTTAGCACTGAATTTAGAAATATTCTGTGTCTCGTGGAATGAGCGTTTTATAGTTGCTGTAGTTGCACGCATCTTTTGGCATACCTAAAATGGCAGAAAACATGATTAATTATAGACTTTTAAGTACTTAAGAATTGTATTAAAAACTTTTACCTTGAAGAGAATGTCTGAAGTGTTTTACATGGCTTTATGATTGTAAATTCTTTGGCCTTCAAAACAACACAAAGACCTAGGGATTATCTGGGAGAGTTTGTACAAAACAAATTCGTGGGTAGTATCCATGTTTCTTGTTAAATATTTCAGTATTGCCAGTGGCCATGTGACCTGTCACAAAGCAGATAGTAATTTCATCATTAAAAATTAACTGCTGCAGCGACAATTTGGCTTTGTGAGCTACAAGAGGATGTATTTAGTTACAGTTTCATAACTCTAAATGAATTTCCACACTGTTCATTCTGGGTTTTATTCTGTCTACCTTTACGCAATCCTTTTATGAGTAAAGAGGAACACTTATGTTCTTACAATGGACCTTAAGCCTCATTTTGAGGATTGCAAAACCTGATCTTCCTCCTAGTGGAACATCTATACTTAAAGCAAACCACTTGATCTTGTAGCTTTTTAGAATGACCCTAAAAATGCCAATTCTTGAAAACTCATTAGTATTTTCCTGATTATTCAATGGTTTTTTGGAAGCCTGACTCTGAAAATATTTCTAAATATTCTCAATTTGAGGAAATGGAGAGAAGAGCAGAAGAAATAGTAGAGGAGCATGCTGTAGAAGCAATTTTTAATAAAGGTGGTTTGCCTTATGATATGTGCTGTGCTTTGTTTCTTTTGAGGATCTGTTCTTTAGTGGTAAAACCAGAGACTTTTTAGCAAGAAACAGGACAAATTCTTTACAGTCTTGGTTGCTAATAGCTCATAATTAATGTTCAAAAGAGATTGTTTCCACTGTGGGTTAAAATCAAGGAATATTTTTCCCCAGTATCTTAACAAAGACTTGAATGAAAACAGTCAGGCCCAGTTCTGAATTCTGACTCGATGGAGCTTGTGGAGTTTGGAAGTCACTTCAAAGTTTTATTTTAAGCATGTGTTAAAGTGCTCTGCTGAAACATAATCACTGGCCTCTCTGTTTCACTTTTGTCCAAGACTCATTTCACAGGATCACCCTTCCAGAGAGGCAGAAAATGACTGAATTCAGGGCACTTCCCGGCACTTGAAAACAGGCTTTTATAAGAGTATCAATAGCATTTTTCAGCAACAGCTGAGTGGGAAGGGAATGTATTCTGAGCAACACCAGTGACAGTCATTTATCTGCTGGGAGTCCTGATGGAGATATTTATAGCTGCATCTCCCCACTGCCAAGGGATACCAACACATGTTGGATTGAAAAGGGAGCAGCAGAGCCTGCTTGGGACAGTGTAGAAAAGCAGTCACTCCATAAGCATGCGTGTTTATTTTTGCCAGCTTGAAACATTAGATGGGTTCTGTTTTCTGAGAAGAGCTCAGAGCTGAAAGCTGAATGTCCCAGTCCTCCCTCTTGGTGAACTGGTGATGCAAGGTCCAAGATTTTCCAGTCCAGGCCTGGAAAATCTGCTCCCCTCAGGGCTCCCCAGGTGTTTCAGAGCAATGCACAGGACACCAGAGCCAGCAGAGAGGTGCCCTTCATGGGTTCAGAAATTTAGGAAAACCAGAGAATGCCCTTGAGACAGTGGAACTGCTGGTGCACAGAGCCTGCATGGGACTTATCTAAACCAGGCCTGATTTTTCCAAAGTTCTGTGGTTGCTTTGTC